CAAGGACGGGAGGTGGAGTTCGAGCTAGATAAATTGCTGGTTATCGATCTTTGATGCTTTTTGCAAGCTCTCTCGTGTTTGATAGGTTTCGGTCTAAGAGGATACAGGGTCACGGTTTGTTAATATATCGCCTAGTGTCCATCGACTGAAAAATGTCATCCAGGTTGTTTTCTCCTTTCACATGCTTTAGTTTGGGCAGCTATGCATGAATTAGTGAGTGCATCTCATACTCTGATATGTCCTCGTTTGACTTCATTGGCCGTAGCGATGAGCCGCTCTTTAACTGCCTTGGTACGTGGTTGTAATTCGGCACGCGAGTCTGTGTGAATCGAAATATTATCAATATACCAGAATGCGTAATATATGCGTAATATAAGAATGTGGAGAGGGAGTGATCCGTGTAACACTAGAACACAGCTAGGGCGGTCTTTAGTCTGAACCGGATGGCAAAGTCGAAAGAGAAGTGTGGTGGCTGAAGTCGATCGTACTGTTGCAATTGATCAGACATGATTCCTTTAGAAGATTATTCAATCTTTGACCGAGGAGATAAAAAACGCGTAGATGTTGACGCTGCCCGTTTAATTTAATATTAAGCTGTCAAACCGGGGGAGACTTTCAATATTTCCAGTCTACTGTTTCCGGCCTGGTTACAAGGTTGCATACCAGTATTTGTTACAGCCCATGGAAATTGTCAAAGGATACACTGATCAGTACCGCAAGTGGCCCTCATCAAGTTGTCTGAATAAAGGAATTCGATCACTCGGGGGGAGGGGGGAAGAGGGGAATTCTCTAAGTCTCGACTGGATGATTCCATCTCAGCTCTTTACACGCAGATCCCACAGAGGGGAGGAAGAGAATTGCATTGTACTTTCATGATTTGCTGTGAGTATAGTAGGTTATCTTACTCGGTACTTAGCAAAGAATACTAGAGGATCATTGCTTCTAGAAATGATTGTGACACGCGGAATCCACAAGGCCCAAACACAATTTTGATAGCAGCATTTCAGGGCAATGATCGTGTTTTGACTGTACTCTTGAAGTCAAAGCGGATCAAACGGTATGTGCGGGACTCACGACGCACGTGTCCTTTACAAGCAGCATTTATATCCCGTAACCCTGCTGCCATCAAAGTGCTGCTAGAGTCGGGAACAGATGCCGGCGCATGGGATCTACGGGGTATAACACCGTTCGAGAATGCCATATGGCATGGGAGTGACGAATTGATTAGGCCATTTGTTGATTGTGGGGAAAGCGAGGTCTTCAATGCCACAAACGTAAGGGGTAAGACGCCTCTGATGATAGCTTGTGAGCTGGGAAGAACAGCATTGGTCAGGGATATGATAGACTCTGGATCTTGTGACGTGAACATCCAAGACAGCATTGGAAGAACCGCTTTAGCTTACAGCGTGTTATTCGAAGAGACAGAAATTGTGCAAGCCTTGTTGGAGCTCCCCGCGACCGCTGCAGATATCCCAGATAAGGATGGAGAAACTCCGTTGACATGGGCTGCGCGATTGAGGCGTGGCGATATCCTGCAGCAACTGATCGAATCGGGCAAAGTTAATATCAAAGATATCGACAGATTCGGAAGAACAGCCTTGCATCGAGCTGCAGAAAGCGATCAATATGATACCGCGAATATATTACTTCTTAACTCTGTAGATGCAGACATTCCAGACTTTCAGGGGTGGACACCGCTGATGATAGCAGCCGGGAACGGATGTATACACGTACTCCATCGGCTTCTGGCCACCGAAAGGGTTGATGTGAACCGGAGAAATCAACATGGAACAACAGCATTGTTCAAAGCCACTAACCGTGGTTGGTCAAATGCTGTTCAAGTGTTACTCGATGCTTCCGCAGATGCAAATATACCCGACAATGAAGGCTGCACCCCTCTCATGATAGCGGCACTCAGAGGAGATACAGAAATTGCTTCCATGCTTCTACAGTCGGGGAATGCTGACCCTAATATGGTCGACGAGGAAGGAAGAGACGCCATGTGGTACGCAGATTTGAGGAATTACACAGAAATCATGGAGTTGCTCCAGAACTATGTAAGTGGAAAATTCAGGGCTCCCCCAGTTGACGAATGAATTCAGTCATTCTTCATTTTGTTCCAACGGCTTTGTTTTCATATGCTTCTCTAACGAGTGTTGCAGATGGGACATATCTCATCCGACTAGCGGATGACTTGGACATGCTCATGCTTCGGCACAGAAGGCTACCTCTTCGATCCTGAAATTGGTTATACATTTTATTCCGGTCTAGAGCTTTTCGCCCTCATGCTTCTTATAGGGACTATCATAGCATATTGATAGCTAGTCTCCTTTATTCCATTTAGTGTGACATTATCGAACTTTTGAGAGTAGAATTGTAACGCGGTGCCTTCATTGTTTAGAGCTTTATGATGAACGAACTTTCCAGCGTCTCATACTCGCTGTGGACCACCAAGACATTGAGAAGGTCATAGTGGTCTTAGCAGTTACAATATCCTAACAATAGCCTGCCTAGGGTAGTGGCAAGCAGCCCGCCCTTGAACGTAGCAGCTACACTCTTCGGCCTACAGAGCTATTATCAACGACGTGGACACTTGCAATCCAGCGGTCAATCACATTACAAAAGCAAGGCAAAAAAATTTAAAATGAAAAACATACAACAGAAGGGATTCGCTGGTGGTCACCCACCCAACTACTAACCTCCCGGCGTGTGGCTTAAGTACGGCTGAGCGGACGGGATGCCCTGTTTTCCACACCCTGTGGTCGTATGTACTAGTGATTACTGTGGAAAGGATGATATAGCACATTTCTTTATGAGGACTGCGTGTAAACTTGGCTACGAGGGAACGGGGCAGTCTTATGCGTAGGTTCCGAAAACCACGTCCACACTTGGTAGTTGATACTGAAGAGGCATGTATTATAGTAGAAAGCTAGATGGTAAGATGATAGACCAGATGCCTACGGTTATTATAACTGACCATGTCAGGTAAGACGTATCTGAATATATTAAGTATTGCAAATAAGTTAAGGGGGTTATAGAGCATGATGTTTACTATTCATATCGCTCCCTACTCCAAAACCTTTGATGTGGATGATAGACAATTTCTTAATTGATCCTAAGTTTTTCCTGTAGACTCTATCTATTTGACTATATGATTGGTAGCGCAAGTGGTGTTATCATGATTTCATCGATAACTCACATTTGAGGGTGAACCGTACTAGTAAGTATATATTCTGGTCATCAGAAGTCCACATACCCACCCAGCAACACATCAAAGGCACGACCGGACTGTAATAGAAATAATCTAACCCGATCTAACGCGAGTACTGACAGTATCTTGTAGGCCATACCTGAAATTAAGTAAAAAAGAACACAACATACTCATGGAACGAAAAGCCTCCGACCTATCCTGAAGGATCGAGCCTCTCACACCCAAGTCCTCAAGTTAACGGCACACACAAGAATTCTTTTTCCACAGTTGATTTTAGCCTTTGCTTGTAATGCAAAATATTGGAGGCAAGTTCAACAAGCATGGCCGGATGGTGTAGTTGGTTATCACGTATCGTTAACACCGATAAGGTCCTGGGATCGAGCCCCAGTCTGGTCATTCTTTTTGCCGAGCATTGCTTTTTGCACTGATGCTAATCAACGTTTTGCATGCTCCTGAGAGCATTGTATATGATCCCTTTCGTCGAGTTTCTGTTTCTACATATCCGTGAACCTGGTGGGGTCTTCAACAGCACCCTTTCGTCTCAATGCCATGTTGGTCTAAAGGTTACCATTCCGGTAACATTTCGACGAATTCGCAACAGGAATGGGTATGTTGCTTAGTATCGCCCAAGCTTCACCTAGTCCTTATTATATATGTCATAAGAAACAGACAAAGTAGCTGGTGGAGCTGTTTACTCGATCTTTATCCTTGCAGCTTTTGTTGGCGAGTGCGTAGTTCGCTATGCAAGTCCGCGCGATCGACTGACCATTTGTGGGGATGATCCCAGGTAGTTATAGGCATGCCAAGCCTAACATGCAGCAACTTTGCAGCATTTGAGACATGCATAGTCCAAAAGAATATACAGCAGTAGTATGTAGCTGGAGCTCAATTCTAGTCGAGGTATGGGTGGCAAAAACAAAAACAAAAAGTAATGACCAGACTGGGGCTCGATCCCAGGACCTTATCGGTGTTAACGATACGTGATAACCAACTACACCATCCGGCCATGCTTGTTGGAGAACGGGTGGATTTCAGGCCATAGAAGCCAAAGAACCCTGGTTTGCTTGATTTTGTGCATACGCGCAAAAGAAGCATTGCCACGGGTAGCCTCTCTCGAAAGACGTTGTGCTGCCATGCCTTGGCTTCGCCACACAACAATTCAATAGCCGTGTACATAAATACTATAGTTCTCTTGTAAAGGCTTCTGCTTTTATGTCTCTTGACGGGGTCTAAATCGAAAGGGTTCTTGATGAAGCGTTGCAAATTATGTTGCGACAGGGGAGCTACTGAGGTCTTTTGGTGACCTAGGGTCACTTTTGGGTTCATCTTCGCTACTATGCGAGAGTAGCGTCTTCAAAAAGTTAATTGGTTACTTGGAATGATTTCTAGAAAGTGTAACTACGCTCAACTTTGCAGTAGATGTAGTTGATCTTCGGCTAATCCAGCCAGGCAATCATCGTGGTCCTGGAAGGAACAGATAATGAACAGGACTGCTGTGTATCACCCCCCAATTTAGCATAGGCCCAGAGGTGATGAAGTAAGCCGGCGAGGCAGTTTTCGTTTCTTGCTTTCGTGATACATTTCGTCACATAACTCCTGCCCACTTTGGAACCAAATAAACTTTCATCTCAGCCAAGCTACATTGGTAGACCAATGCTATCTCTGTATATGATGTAGGGATCGGCGGTCAAAGCTTATGTAGAGTCACTGAAACCTAGTCACATATAGATGCTACTGAACACACCTCCCTCGGAGTACAACAACAGACTCATGCTCAATTGCGTCAAACATGGAGCTACTAGCCATAGCAGGTCTGCTCTGGGCCATTAGCAAGGCTTGTATATATTATGTATCCTCGCTTCACACAAATACTTACCAGAATACATGGCAGTAATCACAGCATCATGGGCAGCATTGAAAGCGCCCATGATAGGCCCTCGCGGTGGCGCAACAGCCACGAAGCACATAGTCGCCATGGCCGTGCGGACATTCTTCGAAACTGTCACGATAGACCAGTTCCGGTAGGTTGCAATAATTCCACACCGAGACACACCTCATAATAATGAGATCCCCAGGTATGCTTATTCTCCTGAGACCTCCGCTCGGCTTCTCGAAGCGTGGGCACGTCGCACAAACACGACCCTAAAGACCGTCAAGCTGCCTGACGGAACCACCGCGTTCTGGCTAGGCAATCCAGACGCCGAGCGACTGCTCCTCCATTTGCCAGGCGGCGCATACTGAATCCCTGCCTTGCCCTCCCACATCGACTATTCCACCTCCATCCTCAAGCATCTGGAACAAGCGGGTACAAATGCCGGCATGCTCTTCCTCCCTTATGAGCTCACCCCAACCGCGCAATATCCTCATCAGATGAAGCAGGCTGTCGCGCTCCTCCAATATGTCATCGAGGACCTGGGGAAGCGGCCGTCTGATATTGTGCTGCTGGGTGACTCTGCGGGCGCACATCTCATCTTGTCTGTTCTATCTCATCTTGCACATCCCCATCCTCACATTCCACCCCTACTTTTGCGTGAGAAACTTGCTGGGGCATTGTTGCTTTCACCGTGGATGGGCGAGTCTCGGACCGATTATGACAGTTGCCGGAGAAACGCGTCGCGGGATCTTGTCTCACCAGGGTTATTGAATTATTGGGCAGATATGTTTCTTGGAGATGCTGAATTCGATAGCTATAACCGGCCTGCGGGTGCGCCTGAAGGTTGGTGGCGGGATTTGCCTGTGGAGGAGATCTTCATTGGGGTGGGAGGATATGAGGTGTTGTATGATTCGATTATAAAGACTGCTAGGAAGATTAAGGTCAGTGATTCTAGATCTTTGGGGTGTGACATCTACTAATATGTCTTTCTTCATTTAGGCAGAACATACGAGAGTCACCATTAGTATTGCCCATCTTGAAGTCCACTGTGAGGCCCTCTCGCCTTTCAATCCGGGGGTGGTTTCGCCGGATCAGTATAGAGCGTTGCTGGCATGTTTGAAGGGTACGTTGTACAAATGATGGAGTAGAATACTTGATAGACGACGGGAAGAACTGTTAAAATGGGTTATCGGCAGTTCCAAGTTCTGATCCATGGAAGAAATTGGGCGGTTAGATGTCCAAAAGAAGATGAGATCTGCTGTCTCGTTGATACAACAAAGACAGCTTAGTAAAACAAAATACACACAGTTCAACTAAAACACGCGCGATTTCGACTACAAACAATCCACCCCTTCCTTTCTCATTGTATCAATAGAGATGAGAGACAAATAGCAAAAACAAAAAGAAGAGATGGAGTTGAAGGGGATCGAACCCTTGACCTCTCGCATTTCCCATTTGAGGATGCGAAGCGAGCGCTCTACCACTGAGCTACAACCCCCGGTAGACACGTACATCCCTTCATTATAGGATTGGTGTGGCAAATTCCATGCTATACAGCTTTTGACCCATACCATATCAGACCTGTTATCAACAACATCATGCATTGATCATACATGCCCACCCACCTGATAATGTACTGATAACCTCGAATATTTCAATTCATAATATTCACTATCGGGGTTTTGAGAGAATTATGTTAATTATCACACCTGCTACCTACGTACTGCGGTCGTGCAATAATGGATGACATGTCCGGACCGGCCCGTTTCCCCGCAAAGCTTATCCAGCTAGAGTGATACAACTTGATCGGAGAATTATCAACCACCCCTATATTCAAATTTGTGTAACTGGAGAAGAGAACTCGCTGCTTACCTACACTTATATATTTAGATACGGCTGAGGACAGGATTAACTTCAGTGACATCAACAAATTAGAATACTAAATATTCAATATCAAGACCAAACAAAACAAATCACCTCCGCAACTCAACACTCAAACACTACTACATCAGAACACAAGCACCATAAATCCACGACTCAGACAAATATACCATCTACAACTCCCCCACAACACCCCTATACGACCCCCTCTCCCCTTTTATATCCTCCAGCACCCCCTCCCCCCTACACACCCACCCCAACTCCCTCCTCGCCCTGTCCCCCGAAGCCCTATTCTCAGCAGCCAAAAACCCAGCGACCACATCCCCCAGTTTCTCTTTCGCCTCCTCCACGCCCAGATCCTCCACCGGAACATGCATAATCTCCGCCACCGCCCCCAAGATCTCCCCAACCGTAACACCAGTCTTATCACCAGCATTATACACACCCCCCTGCACACCCTTCTCAACAGCAAGCAAATACAACTCCGCCGCATCATCCACATGCACCGTCGTCGTATGATTCACGCCCCCACCCACAGTAATGATCTTTCCCGCATGCTTCGCCATCTGCATAAAAAGTCTTATCCCGCTGCCGCCGCGCCCGTACACAAACGGCGCGAGACGGATGTCCATCACTCTTACCCTTCCATTGGACTTCTCGCCAAGGGCGAGCCCATGCGCGGTGATCTCGTTCCGCGAGACGAGAGGATGCGTGTCGAGTGGTGAGAACTCGTCGGTTTCGGATCCGTCGGCATTAGGGCGCACGAGGAGCGTGCCGCTGGTTGTGACGAGGGGTTTGGGGGTGCCGTTTGGGTTCGGGGTGGAGGAGAGGCCGGAGACGATGGCGTCGAGGGCCGCGGTGTCGATGTCTTTGATGGAGGCGTAGCTGGGGGTTTGCCCGAAGACGAAGGCCGTCGCGAGGTGGATTACGGCGGTGGCGGAGGCGCTTTCGGTTCGGAGGGTCGATAGGCTGGTTAGGTCGCCTCGGACCGGGTTGACGCCGAGGGAGAGGAGTTTGGTGTCTGATTGAGGGGTGCGCGAGAGGGCGCGGATGGTGTAGTTGCGTGAGAGGGCGAGGGGGATTAGGGCGCTGCCGATGTAGCCGCTGCCGCCGGTGAGGAAGAGGGTTTTGGTGGTCATTTTGGGGGTGGATTTGGGAATTGAAGGTTATTGATGGTGTGGTTGTTGTTTGTGAGGTGTGTAAGGGTGAGGGATTGATTGTTGGAGGGGTGAAGGGTTGGTTTTATACTGGTTTTATTGTAAGTGGTTATTTGGAGGTATAGTATCTACTATGCACGCTTAGGGCTCGGTGGTAAATCGGTAGGGGATTGGTTATGTCCGTGCAGATGAGATGCCGTCGGGGTTCGGGTCTTCGCGGTTTGGACTCCCCGTCGGGGTTGAGATGTGTTGGTTGATTGGTTGGATGGGGGTGTGTCAAGTATAATATTATTAATGAAGCTGATCCTTCTAATCCTTTAGTTGCTGAAGAAGTGGAGTAAAGGGACAAGTAGTAATGTAACTCTGTGCTATTGCTATTGCTGAGATTTCATTTTCGGCTAGTCATACGTTGTCTGAGTTTGTCATGTACCGCGGCCAACCCATGGACGCATCTTCTCCGGTCACTGAAGCGATCTTGAACTAGGTGCCGTCTCACGCCACTGCTCTCTGTCGCGGACTTAAGAGAACATTAAGTCCTTTGATAAAGATTAAGCCTCTGCAGCAGGTTAGTAAGCCCTACCACGACGGTTGACCATATAGCTTACCCGCTCTCATCCGTCACTTTAGCACCCGGTGCCAATTGGATGTTGTAGCGCATAAGAAGGGTGGGAACGAGCTAAGTTGTGATTAGTATCCCGGCGTTAGTGAAGATAGAGGGAAGCAGGCTATACCTTTGACATCTCTAGCCAACTTATGTCTGAGAAGGTGTCAGCATTGTCACAAACAGTCAACATTTACCAAAGTACTTACTCCGTCCAACGCAAGTGCGGGAACCTCCGCCAAATGAAAAATAGAATCGTTCTAAAAGAGTATGAGCAGTTTCCTCCACACCGGTCGAATTACTTACTGAGATTTCCCACATCCCCTTCCAGCCACCTTTCCGGACGGAATTCCTCAAAGTCGGGACCCCATATCTCCGGGAGCCGGTGAATGACCCACGCAGATGACCCGACCACCGTCTAAACTTGGGTTACAACAGGCGCTCAAAGATGAGAAGCAGGAGATGACTTACGCCCTCTGGAACATAGTACTTCCCAATCTTCATACCCCCCTCCGGAACATCGCGGTTCAGTTGAAGTCCAGCAGCAGGATACAGTCGGAGCGCCTCATACATCACAGCCTGCAGGTAAGGACAGGATTCTGCTTGCTGGAATGTTACCAGATCACTAAGCTCTCCGGTGGCTCTCTTCTCTTCCAACTCTTGCATCAGTCTCTGATAGACGGTCGGGTTTTTGAGCAGGAGATAGAATATCGCATTGAGCGATGTCGCCGTCGTATCTGAGCCGGCAAACACATTCGCAGTCAACATATATGCCATGTCCGTGTCACTGAAGTGAGGTTTGGTCTTCTGAATTGCAAACAGCTGGTTTACGATATCTCGGTCATCGCCACCCCGGTCTTTCCGCGAGACAATCTCTTGAGCTGCAAATTGGTAAAAGTAGCCATTTCGATCATTGACTGCCAACCAATTCCCAATATAGGGCTTGAGCACTTGATGAAGATCGTAGAACCAGGGTACGTTCATGAGCCAGGACATTGACCGCAATGATTGCTTGAGCCGAGAAAACACGCCATCGTCGTCCCCGGCAGTGACATAGCCAAACGGGCGTGAGAAACTGACTGCACCGATGACATCTTTATAATCATACATCAGTGAAGCCCACAGTTAGATGCACAACGTACGTACCAAATGCGAACAATTGCAGAAATACTCCAAGGTCAACAACCCCGGACAGGGTGTCCAGCTTTTGCACCATGCTCGTAAGGAGAGAGCTGACATTGGGCTCGAGATGAACCATCGAATCCATTGAATAAGCACGTGCGACGAGCTTTCTCTGTTCGCCATGTATCTTTTCGTTCCGTTGGCGGAAGAGGTCGAAGGCGTGAATTTCTTTCGGAACGCTATATGACGCGGATTTGGCGAATTTTCCTCCCGCCTCTACCGACATTTAGTGGAGCCTTGAATGATTGAAACATATCCAAAAAACTCACTATATATTTCTCTGAACGCTGTCGGGTCCGCTACGCTCCTGGATATACGCTCAGTTACGAGTTCAGCGCCACGCAAGGGCAAACTAACAACACGTTTGGTCCTGTGCGTACCACTGCACCATACTTCCGATGAAGTGCAAGGTACTTGCGATGGGCTTGTCCCTCGTAGGTGAGGTATGCCCGATGCCAGTTGGTAAGCTTGGCCAAAAAGGGGCCCGGAACCTTGGCCAAAGGAGACAAAAAGCATTGGTAAATAACATAGCCTCCAGTACCGAGAAGCAAAAGTATGCCAGCGGCGAAAGAATTGAAAAGTAGGGATAATAGCTGCATTATGGGTGATCGAGCTGTCAGTTGGGAAAGGCACACAATCAAGCTTTGAGCGGGGAGCGGATGATGAAGGGTATTTATAGGTGATGAGCGGCAGCTTAATGGTTCGACTTATGGACTAGTGCACAAGCACAGATGCATTGTCTGCGCTGCCCTCCTAGAACCATATCATCGGCACAGCAGAGTTGCTAGAGTTGCTATGTAAGGTCCAGCACACGTAACAGTGGGTTGAATACCTTATCGTCGCTCTGGTGAGGGGAAATATCGGTGGCAGCGGGATATTCGGTACTATGCACAAAACTGCCAGCATAGGAGTAGCACAAGACTCAAGCTAGTTGGGGGCCGCGCCAACTCCCTGCTTTGATGTTCTGCAACCGACATCTCCGCACCATGCTAGGCCTCTTGCCCCACAGCAACGCTGATCTGCCGAAGACAATGGTGCGTTATTGTGCCGGCCACCCGCAATGTCCAATCATTTATCCGCAATATCGCATATCCAAGACCTCAGCGCTGCTGTCAATGTCTCACCGCCATCCCCGCCTTGAATGAAGTGACACTGTGTCCATGTGGAAGTTCAGGAAGCAGACCACACTCGAGACGATACTTGTACATTGTCGAGTGACGTATTTGCTTTCGTTCACCAGTACTGGCCGGGTTATGAGGTGAAACCAAACTTAGCTCAGACATTGAATCTGACACTATCCTGTTTCTTTATATCAATAA